CAAGGACCCAGGAGCCTGCCATAGGCTGGGGCCCCGTGAGGTGTGGGCCAGGCACGTCTGTGGGTCGCTTCCTATTACTTGGGGCCAAAGCTCCCTAAAAAAGGGGGGACCCACCAGCACCTGAACTGTGGCCCTACCCCCTCTCCCCTGCCCTTAACCCCCTGCCCTCATGCCCACCCCTTCTCCCTGAGCCCCCTGCCCTCACGCCACCCTTCCCCCAAAACCCCCTTCTTGCACCATGTCCTCCCCCAAGACTCTGCTCCCCACTCGCTCCTCTCTGCCCCTCCCCCATCGTTGGCCCTTATGGCCAGTAAAAAGTGATGGGACCCAGACCCCCGCCCTGCCCGTTCCAATGCCCGTCTTGGGGTCTCGAGCTTGGCAGACTCTTGGCTAACACTGTCGCCCTGCCTCTGACTGGCCCCCTGGGCCGTGCACGTCTGCATGGCAGCCTGTGCTAGATGTGTTACGATACGACAAAGGCCTATGACCACTGCCCCAAACCAAACCAAACCGTGAGTCGACCCCCTCTCGTTGGCTGTCTCCCTACACACTCCTCGTCCTTGGAAGACACGAAACACGGGGACACGGGGAGGGAAACGCAATCCCCCAGTGGCCTCTGATCCCCTGATGGCTCCAGGTTATGGAGAAAACATGACTAACTGGGCTTCGTTAATTCCAGCCCAAAGATGGGGGGGCCCCTCATTTTCAGAGGAACTTTTAAAAACCATTTCCTATAGCCATGGATTTGTTGAGCAAGCCAACCACCAGTAGAGGCCCCCACCCAGTGCCCACAAAGGCCTCCCGCTGGCTTCTCTGGGTGTTGGACTGGCCCCTCGTGAATGGAGATGTGCCGTTCCCAGCCAGCCGCGCAGGAGAGCAGCTGTACTCTGCAGGGGACTGGGACTTGGCTGGGTGGAGCTTACGTGACTATCTGTAGCAGTCCTTGCCCGTGGGCCTGGCCCTGCAGCGCACTGAATGCCTCCTCCTCCCTGGAGAGCCCGGGGCACCCGGCAGACTCAGCCAAGTCCAGTGGGGACCGGAGCACGTCTCAGCCAGCCCATCCTTGGGGACACGCCCTCCGTCCAGGTGCCAGCGAGGTGCCGACTTGCATTCTGGCCCATAGATTGCCAGGCGCACTGGGCGCTCCCGGGATTAGCAGGGCTCTAGACAGGGGCATGCGCAGGAATTTGTTTTGTCCCCTTTTGGAGGGGCACGTTCTCTGCCCCTGCTGAGACCCGGCACCGGGAGAGCTACCGTTCCCCCCTCACTGTCACTGCTGCAGTCCTGGGGAGGGAGGAGCCGTCAACTCCCATCACAGCCCAGGGCTGGAAGAGTTCTGTGCCCCCAACAATTACTGGGAGGGATGCCCCTCCTTGCCCCTCCTTGCGTATGCCCCGGCTATAGACAATCCACGAGAATATTGCTGGTATCCAGAAGAGGGTTCCCAGAGCTGCAGTACAGACCAGTGCCAGCCCAGGCAGCCTCAGCGAAGAGACACCTTTTAGATCAGTGCTTCCCAACCTTTTTCCCATGGAGGAACCCCTAAAATAATTTTTCATATCCTTATGAAAATGTTTGCTTGGCCAGAAAAAGTTGACAGCGGGAAGTGCAATTCAATTACTGCTAAATTATTGTCAAGAAAATGTATTTGTAAAGGCCTGTTATATATATGTCAGCTTACATTGTAAGAAAAAAATTATTTATTCCACGATTTCTCGTGGAACCCCTACGATGATCGGTGGAAAACCCCAGGGCTCCGTGGAACCGTGGTTGGGAAACGCTGCTCTAGATTTTCCTCACTTTTCCCTCCAGTCATGTCCCCATGACTCTGCTCCCCCAGAAGGCCATGGCTGGCAGAGTTAAGCCAATGCGCAGCCTCCTCTCTGTACTACCTGGATCGAGCTGATCATCGTGCTCAGGGCAAACACAGTGGCTGAATCCCGCAGAGTCGACTGGCTGTCAAAGGTCCCCTGCGTGTCCATCAGCAGCACGGCCACCTGCGGAGCAAAGAGGTGGGGATTGGCACTCAGCGCTCCATGGGGCTAGTGTAACCCACCCCCCTAGTGGGGTCACGGTCCCATGCCGTGGCACTTAGACCACGTACAGCGAGCGATAAGAACAAGGGAGCTCTGCAGCCTGAGATGAGAGCCAGCTGGCTTTTAACTCAAGCTGGAGAGGCTCCTACATGGAGGTCCCAGGTGCAAGTCTGCCCGGTGGCAATTACACTAGTCCATCCAATCGCTCTCCAATGCCAAGCAGGGGCAGAGCAAACCAAAACGTGAGTCGACCCCATCTCGTTGGCTGTGTCCCTACACACGCCTCATCCTTGGAACATGGTGACACGGGGAGGGAAACACAATCCGCCAGCGGCCTCTGATCCCCCGATGGCTCCAGGTTATGGAGAAAACGTGACCAATTAGGCATCCAGCCCAAAGATGGGGGGGACCTTCATTTTCAGAGGAACTTTTTAAAACCATTTCTGCCGCTCTACTCTGCACTAGTTAGGCCTCAGCTGGAGTACTGTGTCCAGTTCTGGGCACCACATTTCAAGAAAGATGTGGAGAAATTGGAAAGGGTCCAGAGAAGAGCGACAAGAATGATTAAAGGTCTAGAGAACATGACCTATGAAGCCAGGCTTCATGAACTGGGCTTGTTTAGTTTGGAAAAAAGAAGATTAAGGGGGGACATGATAGCGGTTTTCAAATATCTAAAAGGGTGTCACAAGGAGGAAGGAGAAAATTTGTTCCTCTTGGTTTCTGAGGACAGGACAAGGAGTAATGGGCTTAAAGTGCAGCAGGGGAGGTTTAGATTGGACATTAGGAAAAAATTCCTAACTGTCAGGGTGGTCAAATATTGGAATAAATTGCCAAGGGAGGTGGTGGAATCTCCCTCTCTGGAGATATTTAAGAACAGGTTAGATAGACATCTGTCAGGGATGGTGTAGACGGAGCTTGGTCCTGCCTTGAGGGCGGGGGGCTGGACTCGATGACCTCTCGAGGTCCCTTCCAGTCCTATGATTCTATGATTCTATGATTTCCTGGAGCCATGGATTTGTTGAGCAAGCCAACCACCAGTAGAGGCCCCCATCCAGTGCCCACAAACGCTGGCTTCTCTGGGTGTTGGAGAGCAGCAGTACTCTGCAAGGATACCAGATACCCTGGAGGGAATGGACAGAACAGGGAATCATCATGAGCCCTCCCCTGTCGCCTAGAGACTAGACAGAGACTAGAGACACCATTCCTACCCATCCTGGCTAACAGCCACTGGCAGTCCTCTCCTCCACCAATGTATCTAGTTCTTGTCCAAACCCTGTTATAGTCTTGGCCTTCACAACATCTTCTAGCAAGGAGTTCCACAGGTTGACTGTGTTATGTGAAAAAAATACTTCCTTTTGTTTTAAACCTGCTGCTTATTAATTTCATTTGGTGACCCCTAGTTCTTGTTATTTACTCCTCCTCATAACACACTTCCTTATTTACTTTCTCCACAACAGTCAGTTTATACACCTCTATCATGCTGCCCCTTAGTCATCTCTTTTTGAAGTCGGAAAGTCCCAATCATATTAATGTCTCCTCATAAGGAAGCCATTCCAAACTCCTAATAATTTCTTTAGCTCTTTCCTGAACCTTTTCCAAAATTCCTTTTTTGAGATGAGGCGACCGCATCTATATGCATTATTCAAGATGTGGGCGTGCCATGGATTGACATAAAGGATAATTTACATAATTGGATATTTTCTGTCTAATCATCCATCTCTTTTTGAACAACTCCCACGTTCAGTTAGCTTTTTCGGTCAGCCCAGGGGGCTCCTGAACACAGGAGAGAGATAGCACATAACAGAAATCGTTCTCGTTCTGTGGATAGAGCCTTAGTGTCGCAATGGGTTTTTCGCCTTCCCCTGTAGCATGGGGCATGGATCACTTGCTGGAGGATTCTCTGCATCTTGGGGTCTTTAAACCATCATTTGAGGACTTCAATATCTGAGATATAGGAGAGAGGGTTATACCAGGAGTGGGTGGGTGAGATTCTGTGGCCTGCACTGTGCAGGGGGGTCAGACTAGATGATCATAATGGTCCCTTCTGACCTTAAAGTCTATGAGTCTATTAGAAATGGCTGAGATCTAAGGCACATGGCGTGAAAGACCATCTAACGGGACACTTATCTAGGAAAAAGCAGAGCAGCGGTGTTAGAGCTCGGGGCGGGCGAACCCAACGGCAGCCCCCAAACAAAGGGATGTGCTGGCACCGGACACCCACGCACCTTTTTACCGTCCGGTTTGTCCACCAGAAAGACCTCGCTCCATATCTGAATGCCAGTCGTCTCCCGCTCAGAGCCGCCTCGCCAGGAGAAGCCCGTCAGCGGTTCGTTGTAATCGCCGACCCAGTCAATGGAGTCCTGCGAGGAGGGAGGGAAGAGATTACCTCAGGGCTCTTCCCTCCGCTGTGTTGCCTCCGTCCCAGGGTTACTCGCACCGGAGGTTTTCTACCAGGCGGCAACAACTCCCCGGCCTCCCCATTCAGTTCTTTGGATCGGCGGGGCCTGAAGAGGCACCTGAAGGATGGGCCCAAATCCACAAGCCCCTCCCAAATCACTGTGACAAAGTGGACTGCAGGCTTGCTTGCTTGCTTGCTGACCCACGCCACTCCCAGTCGGAACCCAGACTGGACAGAGCCCCGTTCCGAAATCACAGACGCCGACCAATCTTCCCGCTAATCTTTTCCATCCACGTGTGGATTTTTTTCCCATCCGTGTGCAGAATGAATTTTGTGCTGTGCACTGAGGCACATGCTGATGTGCACTGCTAACAGAAACAAAACTTAGCAGTGGGCGCTCTGCTAATCAGCTGGGCAGCACTGGAATCTCTCCTAAGCAGCCGCACAAGCACACGGCTTACGGGGGACGCTGGCCCTAACCCTGGTGCTCATAGAGACTCTCCAGCTGCTGGCTAGTACTGACCCTGCACCCTTGAGCAATACTGATTCTGTCCAGCAGAAGGAAGCGGAACCCTTCCACCTCAGCAAGGCTCCCACACGACTTAGGAACGCTAAGGGCCGGACTCTCCACACCGCCCCATTGGAGGCCAGCACCTGGGGCTGTAGGAGCCAGTGAGGGGTCCTCGCTCAAGCACCAGCTGGCCACAATGGAACATAGAGCAGATGAGGTGCTGCTTTTACTTATACCATTTAAGGTTGCCAGATGGTTTAACTAAAAATACCGAACACCCCCCCTCCTTCCCCCCCAAAAAAACACTGGGGAAAAATTTCTGTTGAGAAAAAAAAAGGGGAGACCAAAGCTGTTGAGCAAAAAAATAAAATAAAATAAAATAAAGCATGGCCCCTTTAAGAAAAGCCTTTGAAGCTTTTTGCCGGCAGCCATCTTGTTTTCCTGATTGAGCCAGAAGGCAGCTTCCCTGTGCAACCAGGTAAGAGGTGTGTCCGGAGGGTTTGGGGGCGGGACAGGGGGCTGGGCCCAGTTGCTGAGCATGTTTAGGGTTGCCAAGTGTCCGGTATTTTTGCCTCCTGTCAAGGAAAAAAAATCAGAAAATATCAGACGGTTTAGGTGTCTGGTATTTTCTGAATTTCTTTACCGGACAGGAGGTGAAAATATCGGACTGTCCGGGTCAATACCAGACACCTGGAAACCCTAACACCATTCCTCCTGGGGCTCAGGCTGAGGGCCATGCACTCCCCCTACCCGCAGCCTCCTGCCTCCCCTTCCAACAAGCTGTCTCCCTCTGCTCCCCGAAGACTCGCCCTACCAGAGCAAGGGCATGGAGAAAGTGGAAGCTGCACAGGAATGGGCAGCCTGGAGGTCCCTGAGCTGCTCCGGGGGGCAGAGGCCAATGTACCGCAATGTGCTCTGCTCACAACAACATAACACAACTTGAGGCCCTAGCGCAGGGCTGGGCAAGATGCGGTCTATAGGCCAGATCCGACTCACCTAGCACTTGGATCCGGCCTGCAGACGGCATCTGGCTGCTTTCTATTGATATCCTGCGGCTTGCGCCACCAAATTCCCTGGCAGTGGCGCAGGCAGCAGGATCCTGTTTAAATGGCTCCTGGTTGCGGTGCTACCCTGGCAGGGGCCGGAGCCGTGAGCCCTTTAAATAGCCACAGCAACCCTGGGCGGCTGCCGGGCAGGGGCGGGAGGCCTTTGGTGTGTTTTTAATTCAAAGGCCCCCTGCCCCAGACAACTCTGGAGAGAGGCTAGTCCCCAGCCCCGCCCCTTCCACCCCAGGCCACGCCCCTTCTGGGGGTGGAGCCATCCCATGACCATGTACCACAATTCAGTAAGTGGTCCCCCGGGGAAAATGATTGCCCATCCCTGCTCTAGTGGGTGCATCAAAGGAACCCACGCCATGGTTACAGCGCCTCAGGGAGCATGCACCGGGACTGCACCCGCCCTTCAGTTAGTGAGGGGCACTAGCCTTCCCGAAAAACGCCTTATCGGCTGGCAGCTCAGAGCACCATGGAGCTCAGATCTGGACACAGACCTGGATCCAAACTCCCACAGTGTCAGGGGGAATTCGAACCCCAGTGGGGGGCCCAGTAGAGAGAGGGGCCCAAGCACCCCCAAAGAGAATCCCAGAAACTAGAGCACTAGAACTGGAAGGGACCTCGAGAGGCCATTGAGTCCAGTCCCTGCCCTCACGGATCCTCAAGCCCCTCTTGTTTTCACGGGAGGGAGGTCTCATACTAGAGCCTGTGCAGCACGGCACCCCCAGGTCCCAGGATGGCACCCTAGGGAGTTAGTTCCATCGGGACTGTGCTCGTACCTTGTCGTACATGTATCTCAGCATGAAGTCCATCAGGAACGATTTTCCTTTTCGGAAAGCTCCAGCCACGGACACAGCCACGACCTCTTTGTCCCTCACGGCCTCCGTGAGCAGAATGCGGTTCAGTGCGGCCTCGTCCAGCTCGAAGGAATGGTCGTCTTTCACAATCAGCACCTGGACCGGCCCCGCCTTCTTCGCAGCCTGCTCCTCTTCGGCGCTCCACTCGTAATTCTTTTCGGAAAAGCCACCTGGGGACAACAAACAAACAGACCCCCCCGGGCTGGGACCGGCGTGCTCAGAAATGGAACCGTGTTTCGTCTGCTGTAGGTGATGCCCAGAGGGGACCAATCTGCCTTTTGCAGGCTTGCCAGATACGGAGATGCAACCCTGAAATCCGCTCCACTGCAGCGAGGAACGCCGCTGCTCGGACGGGACGCAAATTCCGACAAAAGGGGACGCGGGTTATCACTGTCGATTTTGGTCTCCCCCTTCTCAGTTCCTGGGCAGTCCCATTTCGGCCTCTGAAACAGCAGGACTTAACCGGCACATGGGTAGAGAGAAAGGTGTTTTTCATCTTTACTACCGAGGTCTGAGCAGCATCCTCCCTTGCAACATGGCACCGTCCTTCTGGGGTTAACCCCTCGCGGGAGAGAGGGACACCGGGGGAGGCCAATCGTGCGGCGACGGAGACTCTCCTCAGCAGCTGCCCCCACCCCGCATTTCTGGGCATGCTCGATAAAAGGCAGACACACCACCCCCCGGCTCTCCTAGTCAATGGCATTAAGATAACAGACGCGTTTAACGGTTGGCTCAGGGCGCTTTGCACACGCCCAGCCGTCCAGAGGAAGGAAGCAGTCTCAGGACAGCCATCCGCACAGAACACGGGCATTGGGACCTGGGAGCGTACTGGCCACTTCTCCTTCACCATCTACCGGGGGCTCATCACCGAAGGACATGGGGGGGTGACTATCCACAGCCCTCCGCTCACCTAGGGCCACGTACGTTCTCTTGGGATGGACTTTGGGAGCCAAAGGCTCTTCCACTCCCCCGAGAGGTTCTCAGTTACGGTTGGATGGGCTGCTCTACTGCCCCAAGAATGTTAAACATGGCAGCGGAAAGTTAGGCTCCTAAGCCCCCAGTTAGGTGGCGACAAAAGTGGCCTGATTTTCAAAAGTGCTCTGTTCCCAGCAGCTCCCGTGGACTTCAAAGGAGCGGAGCTGTGTTCTACACAGGTTTCCATGGGCGGCGGGTGAACTTAGGACTAGAGGAGGCAAGCTCCGCCCCCCAGCCCTACCCTCAGCCCCGCCCCTTCTGCCTAGGCCCCTCCCCCATGGGCGCCAAAGCCCTGCCCCCCCAGTACCACAGGAAGGTGGGGTGGGGTGTGCTTATAAGTTGTCTGGTAAAAGGCCAAAAATAATCCTGTGCTTCTTTATAAAGAAGCCTAAAAAGCTGCCTTGCTTCTTCCCCCGTCCCCACTTCTTTCGTGCCTGAGATCTAAATAGAAAGTAAAAGTAAATAAAAATGACGGCCAGGGAAGGAGAACTACAGAACAGGGTCTGGGGTTATACTGGATCACACACTCAATGAGTCAACCGTGTGAGACGGCTGCAAAGTCAGAAAGAATGAGAAGAAGAAGAAGAAGAAGAAGAAGAAGAAGAAGAAGAAGAAGAAAGCAAAGTTCATTCTGGGATGTATTTGCCCAAGTGGTGTGAGCAAGAGCGGAGAAGTAATTCTTCCGCTCTACTCAGCGCTGGCGTGGGCTCCGCTGAGAGTCTTAAAAAACTTCAAAGAGAAACTGCTGAGCTACAGTTCATCTGCAAGTTTGATGCCATCAGCTCAGAATTAAACAAAGACTGTGAATGGCTAGCCAACTACAAAAGCAGCTTCTCCTCCTTTGGTGTTCACACCTCCAGATCAGCTGCTAGAAGTGGGCCTCATCCTCCCTGATTGAATTAACCTCGTTATCTCTAGCCTGATTCTGGCCTGCATGTTTATACCTGCCTCTGGATATCTCCACTACATGCACCTGACGAAGTGGGTCTTTGCCCACGAAAGCTTATGCTCCAATACATCTGTTAGTCTGTAAGGTGCTACAAAAGCGACGAAGAGTCCTGTGGCACCTTATAGACTAACTGAAGTGTAGGAGCATAAGCTTTCGTGGGCAAAGACCCACTTTGTCAGATGCATGTAGGTGCTACAAGACTCCTTGTTGCTTGAGCCAGAACTGGACACCGCACACTGGGAAGGGGGTGGACACGCTGGAGAAAGCCCAGAGAAGAGTGACCCCAATGATGAAAAATCTAGAATAGTGTTTATCAACTTTTTTTTTAATAAAGTACCCCTTTTTCAAAAAAAAATTAGAAATACCCCCAGTACCTACAGTTTTCAGACACACAACATTTTTTTCTACCATCGCAACACATTTGATTAAACAACTTAATCGTAGCCGGGCAGGCGATGAAATTTTTGGGTGTAAAAAGAACAAAAATAATAAAGCCCTGTAAAACTTACAACAAAAATTCAGTGTTCTCCAATTTTCAGTTGTGATGACGTGCCCCCCAGACATCTCTCAAGTACCCTTGAGGGTACTCGTGACACTGGTTGAGAAACACTGCTCTAGAACACGCGACCTATCAGGAAAGATGAAAGAACTGGGTTTGTTGAGTGTGGAGAAGAGAAACCGGAGGCACGACATGGTGACTGTCATCAGATACATTAGGGTATAAAGAAGAGGGCGATAAATTGTTCTCCTTAACCACTGAGGGCAGGACAAGGAGCAACGAGCTGAACTTGCAGCATGGGAGATGCGGGTTAACCGGAAAAAGCTTCCTGTCAGGGTGGTTAAGCCCTGGAAACAAACCGCCCAGGGAATTCCAGCCATTGCAGGTTTTTAAGAGCAGGTTAGATAAACCTCTTCAGGGATAGGCTGTAACATTTAGCCCTGCCACAGGGCGGGGGACTGGACTAGCCGGGCTACCAAGGTCCCTTCCAGTTCTGTGATTCTACAATCCTTTAACCAACGGGACAGATTCTCCAGTGTGCAGCGAAAAGAGGCCTCAAATGGACCGGAGATTCCCAGCAGGAAACCCCCTACCACCCTCGCCTCTCTCTCCACCCCAGTGTAAGTGGGGAGGAGCCCTGCCAGAGGCAAATTGGAGACAAGCCAACAGTGACCGGGATGATCCTGAACTTAGGAGCCACAACCACTGCCAAATGAGACTAAAGAACCCGCTCAAGTGCCATGCTGGATCGGGGCCAGTGAGCGACTCACATCCCATTGCCAGGCACTGAATTACTGCGTTCGGCGATTCAGCCTTACGGCTTGCCTAGTGCCTGCTCACGGACGGACGCAGAAGGGAGACTGGTGTAAAGGTTCCTGCGTGGGCCGCCATGCTGCCAGTGCCCCCCAAAAACCACAACGAGACGGGCTCCTTATCCCAGATCCTGCTGTGCTAATCAAGTCCGGCTTCCTTTTGTGTTTCTAGCACATACGGAAAGGTTAGCAGGGCGATCGCTGCAGGACGCGGCCAACGCCAGAGACAACATGCACACAGATCGACCAGCCTGCAGAAGTGTTCAAAGGCCAGTAACCTCAGGGGCAGGGGACCTAGGCCTGTTATCAGTGCGCAGGTGGGAGCGGTACGGTCTGATTTAACATGATGAATCATTCACGCTCCCGGCTACTTTTTGGGCATGGCGCAAGCTGAAGGAGATGCAGCGAAGGAGCATGACAAAGCCAGGCTGGGCAGCTAGAAGAGGGTGGTCCTAGCTGGGTTCTGGGAAGTGGGCAGGCTTTTAAAACACCCTCCCACAGCCTTCCGGGAGGATGCAGAAGGCCCAGGAACTCAACCAATTACAGGGGACAACCAAGAATAGAAGAGGGCCGGGTGTGAAAGTCAAAGGGTCAACACAAGGGCAGCTGAAGGTGACACTGAGCAGAGAATCCCAGACAGCGCCCACTACTCCTCGCAGGTGTCAGGGCAGCCAACAGACACCACCCAGAGGGACTCTGCCCGGATGCATGAACGGAGGGAGGAGTAGAAACAGGCCCATAGTCTCAAGAGACCCCCTCAGCCAACCTCCTCTCCCTGGTCTTATAGATGGCTGCTTTGGACAGTGCTGGGAGCAGGAGCCCTAAAGGCCCTTTTCCCTATAACAGGGGTCTCCAACCTTTTTAAGCACGAGATCACTTTTTGAATTGAAGTGCAATCTACCTCAGACCCAACCCCCCTGGCTCCGCCTCCTTCATGGCCCTTCTCGGAGGCCCCGCCCCTGCTCACTCCATCCTCCCTCCCTCCCCCATCCTCCCTCACCTTCACCAGGCAGGGGCAGCGGGTTGGGGCGCAGGCTCTGGTCTCGGATTAAGGGATTTGGCGTGTGAGAGGGGCTCTGAGCTGAGCCTGGGGCAGGCCGTTGGGGTGTCGGAGGCGGTTTTAGGTGCAGGCTCTGGGAGAGTGTTTGGATGCAGGGGGGCTCGGGACTAGGGGTGCAGAAGGGGGTTCATGACTGGGGTAGGGTTTCAGGGTGTGGGCTCCAGCTGGGCACTGCTTACCCCAGGTGGCTCCTGGCTGGTGGTGCAGTGGGGCGAAGGCAGGCTCCCCCCTGCACCACTCCCAAAAGCAGCCAGCAAACTCCCTCCCACGTCCTGTTGTGCCCCCTCTCTTCTCTGTGGAGACAGGATGCAGGGGTGGAGGGGACATCTTGACATCAGCACCCCTCTTCTCCCTCCCCTGCCCTGCACATTAAGCGGGAGGTTCCCAGGAGTGGGGAGAGCAGCCCCAAGGCAAAGGGCAGGAGATGCACAGTAGTGCGGGAAGAGGCACTTGAGAGCCTCTTGGCCAAGCCAGTCAGGATCCCCTGTCAGAGGCTCCAAGATCGACCAGTCGATCCCGATCGACTGGTTGGTGACCACTGCCCTAGAGGCTGAGAAAGGGGTTACCTCGGGTCAGCTAGGCACACCTGACCTTATTATTGACCGTAGCCCAAAGAGTGAGAGTCACTTACATAGGCACCGGCGCGGACACCAGAGCAAATGCCCACAGATCGGCCACTGGCACATTTAGGCTCAAAAACCAGCTGAAGGTTTCTAATCTTCAGAGAAGTGACGCTCTGGAGCAGCCTCCCAAGGGGAGTAGTGGGGCAAAAAAGTGGCTTCGAGACTGAGCGTGGTAAGTGTAGGGAGGGGATGGTGAGACGAGACTGCTGATTCGGGGCCCGTGAGTGATTCAGACCCCAGTGCCGGGTACTCAATTATTGTCCTCAGCAAGGTTCCATCGGTGACGGCCAGTAGCAAACCCCCCAAGGGCTGGAGACAGAGACACGACATGGGGCTTGCCACGTGCAGGAGGTCAGCCTAGATGCACATGGGGGTCGCTCCTGACCTTCGAGTCGAGGAATCCAAGTAAGGGCTGCTGGAGACCAGAAGGGAA